TAATGATGGTTAAAAGTGTTAAATCACTGGTTAAATGTCGTCATTTCATTCAAATTGACCGTCCTCAGTGACAGCGTTTAAACTTCCATCAAATCTTTCATTTTTGCAGGTATTTTATTTTCTATGGTTTGCACCGTAAATGATGTAAGAATGTTTGTAGAAGAAAAGTATCTAAAAAAAAAACACAGGCCTTTGTCCCCTTCATTCTTCAGTTTCATGCAGTTTTTCTGTAATAATTTGTCATTTTTATATTTCCAATTTTGAAAAACATTTTTAGGCCTACATTGGGGCACTTAAGAGGGCATTCAATTAAGTCATCACTACATTTGTAATGGGTTTATTAGTTTTAATGCTGGTATAACTGGGATAACATCAGATTTTGTTATTATGTTATTTAATTATGATAAATATGTAGATGCTAAAATACTGAAGAAATAGCTGTAAATTTGCTTGCTTTGTTTTTACAGATTACTAAGCTTTTGCTTTGAAATGTATAAGTTTCAGTGCATGATTTCAGATCATCAATAAAATTTTAAGAATCGTATTTATGTGAATAATTGCCACTTTATCTCTATTGAAGAGCTTTGCTGAATCAGGGATTTAGGGAGGGTGCAGCTGTTTCCTAATGATCCAACAGAGACGGTAAGAAAGGACAGTTATTTTTGACAACTTAAGTGCTTTTTCTGTTCCATTCAGCTGTTTTCTTTACATGCAGTTTGATTTTGTTTTGGTCAGTAGGTTATCTGAGGTTTAAAAAATTCTTTATTGTTTAACGAGTTTGACACACATAATGCTGCTTGTGAGGATTTTCAGCTTCTTAACTGAGTTCTAATAATTTCATAGCTTTGTTTTTTTAGTCAGTTTTGTAAACTGAAGTTTTGTGTATCTGTAAGTAATCTTTGCGTGCAGAAATTTCATGCACTGTGGAGAGAGGGGTCCCTTGAGTCCATAGGGGACGGTAATAAGACGAAAGGACAACCCCTGAAAACTTTGTCAACTGGTTGTCAGCTGCTTTATAGTAAACTTACCTACAGGAATATTTAAAATGAGATACACAAGCAGCGTGACTGTAAATGTAAAAGACTGTTGTGTATAAAAGTGATGGAAGTGAGACAAATTTAAACTGTGTAGTTTTTCTATGAGGCCACAGAAGAAGAGGAAACGAATTTACGGTGTGCAAACAGCAAAGCATCTTGTTTGTCAGGATGAAACTGATCTGAAGCTCTGCTCACTGGAGCGTGCTTTCTGCTCACAGAAATGTCACTGACTTTCTGGTTAAGAGTATAATTAGTTCTTCAAGTTTCTCATGAAGTTTGATTTTCCATCAAATTATAATGAACAGCCGTTAAACGAATGTCTGTAATGTTACAGAAACTAAAACTGAAACACTGTAATCAGTAAGTTTCTGTAACACTAAAGAGTTTTACCTTTTTTTTTAACTCATATATTTCCCAGCTGGTTAAATTTAAATCTTCTCTTTCATAAAATCCTTGCTACATCTTATCTCGATTCATAAAACTTCAAAGGTAAAAATATTGAAAACTTTTTTTATTGCTCACAGGTTTTTTTTCAAGCAAACATATTTTTAAATCACATTTTTTATTATTTGAAAGTGAAAACAAACAAATGGTATTGCATTTTACTGAGAAAGATAGAATTACAAGAGATATAATCAATAACTTTTTAAATGTAGATGCGTTACCTGCTCTGCAGCTTCAGTTTTGTTGTTTCTGCTGCACAATATTGTTCTAAACAGCAAGAAGAATCGAGGCTTCGAGTATCTGTTAATGACTATAACATAAATCAGATTGTAAATCCCAGATATTATATTTTCCAACACATGCCAGATGGTCTAGCTTGACAGTTTGGTTGGCATTATTGATTTTTGTGTTTTTCTGCTTGACTTTTGAAAGATGAGATGGAGGTTTTTGTTCATCTGAAAAATTAGTTTTATCGTGTTTCTCCAGCCTGCATCAAATTATGTATTTGTTGTTTGCCTGTGAAATATTAGGAACATATGAAACAATGTGGCCATAAAAGCCTTTAAGAGAAAAGAAATTACATTTTGAAACTTTTGAACCTTTGAACCATTGAATTAATAAAACATTTTTTTCTTTACCTCTAGATTAAAAAAGAAAGATTGGAAAATCTAATCTCTGTCAAGCCAGCTATCAGCAAGTGGATATTGAACTGGGATCAGTGTGTACTTGACATGCGATGTTAATCAGAAATATAATCAATCTAAAATAATTACAAAAGAGGCTGATGTTTTTAATTAAGCTTAGAACTGACAACTGTAWTGCAGGTTCCCCAAGGAGCACCTGTGAGTTTCATGGATTTAATTATGTTTCAGACAGGGACACATTAATTCAAGTTTAGGGAAGTCTCTCATCTAAGGCTAYGCTCACACTGCAGGCTAAAGTGACCCAAATCTGATAGTTCTGCCCATGAGATTATTTTATGATGGTCTGAAGGTGTTTTAATGATTGGTTAGTCACCAAGACACACATTTTTACAGATTAAAAGTGCAATTGCTTCAGCTTTTCTGAATGTTTTAGATTTGTCATGGTTGGGATGACTGAAAATTTACCCCAGCRTTTGATACTAATGGTAAGGAAAACTAGAGTTGAGTGGAACTGCGTAGGAAGGCAAGGGCCAGTCTATACTAACAGTGGTATACTAATGTGTCTGTATCGAAACTAGTATGATAGATGTGGAGTTTGTTTCCACATACAGTATTTAGCATCTGTTTCTATCATGTTTTAATATTAGCAACTGTATTTGACTTCTTTTCCTCCATTTCTCTKAGAATTTGCTCGTCTTCCTAATTTTTTTTTTCAAGATCCTCGTCGTCTTCCACCACGGCTCTGGAATTCACTGAACTCTGTTTCACAACAAAATGAAAGTTGTACCTATTTTGACACAAAGCTGCCCACTTCTGCCAGCAGAAGCAACCCGTCAAAATAAAAGCTGTTTGGTGTGATGACTTATGGTTTAGTGCAATGGTTCCCAACCTGGGGGTGTGCCAGAGAGCACAGGGGTGTGAAAATATCAATTTATTGTTAGTATACAAAAATCACCAAAACCAATCTATTTGAATAATTACAACCAYGTATAATTCATTTATTTTCCTTTTCCAAATAAAAGCTTGTAACTTTTTGCTTTATTCTTTTGAAGAAATTTCTTGGGGTTTGTTTACTACTGATTTTTAAAAGCACCACACATTCTGTAGTCTTTCATAGGTGAATAATGATATCGATATTGTGTGAATATTTTTGTGATAACATTGATGATTTTATTTACAGACTGGTCTGAGTGGCTATCAAAGATGGTTACACAGAACCGGAGGTACATATAGATAACATACATGCCTGAACACACTTTCAACACTTAATTGAACTGTTGTTTTAACACTAGAACAGGAAAATGGGGACCTGATTTCAGCCGTAGGCTGGCCAATTTGAATGATGCAATGACAAGAGGTGGAGTCAGGTCCTGAATAAAGTTATAAAAGTATTATTGTTTCCTGAATTCTTGGCTGAATTCACAGAGAAAGCATTAAATCCTGTGATTCAATCCCAGTTAGGGCTGCCACAAACGATTATTTTTCTAATCGATTAATCACCGATTATTTTTTCGATTAGTCGACTAATCGGATCATACATTAAATGAATATAAAACATACAGCTTATCACGCCAGAATGCAGCTGCTATTATACAGTATAACCATCGTTAGATTTTAGCTATATGCTAACTAAAATTAATTGCTGTGGAAGGCAAGTTCTGCTCTGCACATATTACACAGGTTTCTCTTTCATTTTCTTAAAATGTTCCCACACTTTTGAGCTCCGTTGCCAAGTAGCCATGATACCAGAGCCTGTCTGTATAATGTCACGTCCACGGCCTACCCCAGTTACCACTACTGTGCATGTGTGTCAAGGACAGAAAGGCAGATGTGGCAGTGGAAGGTGTCAAAGCAGTTTGGTGAGAAAAACAAAGTAAAGAACAAAAAAAAAAGAAAACAATATACAGTAATTGATTATTAAATTAGTCATCGATTATTTTAATAATCGATTAGTCGTCGATTAATCGATTAATCGTGGCAGCCCTGATCCCAGTGCTGGTGTGGTTGTATGAACTTTTTTCACATTCAAACATTCAAATATTAGTGTATTTTCTATCTGGTTACGAACACGTATTAAGTTAAACGAACATGTTAAAATTTCTTTTCACTTATAATTTTGATAAAGAGATAGAGGCTGAACGCGTCTTTAGGAGAGGTGGGGGGTAGCGAGGGATCGGGGGGTTCAGCTTGTCTTGAAAGTAAGAAAGGGGCGCTTTGAGGAAGCTATGTTGGGACCCACTGGTTTATTTGGTTTAGTCCCTCGACACATTGATTTAATTTACCTCCTACATTGCAGGATCTTCAATGTGACTATTTCACACACATCACAATGACAATGTATCGACATATTGTGTAGCTTTAATACACACATGCTAACATGTGTAGATGCCATATGTACTTATGCAAACACACCTTGCTGTTTGTGTCGTCATATCTTTTTTTTCCACGTATTGGTCACTTCAGGGCTGTGGACTTTTCACACTAGAGTCTGATGGARGTCACATTTAAATTAAAAAGAATCTGAAKTGAGCATTAAGACCTGCAGTGTGAACTTAGCCTAGCGTTTTGTCATTTTTTAGGAGTATGTAATCTAATGTTCTGAAGTGGTGGATGTTTTTTATGCAGACAGTACATAAATTAGATGAGACACATCATTATGTGTTTTTTGTTCTTGGATTAATAAGGAGTTGGTTAAACTGGCATTATTTCCTCTTTATCGCTTAATAAAAGGCAACACCAGTGTTGTTTTGTTGAAGTCTCTGTTCAGAACCTACGTGTCTGTGTTGAGGTAGGTCGTGGAAACAAATACCTGCACACTGAACTTTGTGAGAAGTGGTGACTTGCTGACGGAGTTGTGGGTCTCTCGTTCTGACAGGTATGGATGAGCGGACCACCCAAGCATCGTGGGCCCCAGGTGGCGAGTCCAGTCCCTCGTATGAGTCCTCGCGGGTAAGATGACCCACAATATAATTCCTCTCGGTGGCCTTTCTGCTCCACGGCACATCATTTAACACTCATTACATCAAAGTGGTAAATTCACAGTGTTTCAGCCTCACCTGTTCTCCAGGCCTGTCAGGTTATTTCACCTATACAGATGTATTTCTCTGTGACAGAATGGATTAGAAAATGTTTTCAGGTCTATTTGAATTGATTTTTAGTGTCTGATTTAATTTATTATGTTAAACACTTGTCAGGGAGAACAGTAACCAGAATTGGATGTTTARCAACCATATCTTACCTCAGATTAATGTTAAATTTAAAGATTTTTTTTAACCTAAAGGTGAATATCTGCTGGTTTTATTGGCAGTAAATTATTTTTTCAGCTTTTGATATGTGATCACTGCTTTGAGGATTATTAATAGCAGTGATGCAGCTGGTGATAAAGGTATTTTCAGTCATATTGTGAGTAATTATTTTTGTCAGACTGTTTGGCCTCAGGATATGCTCCTGTGTTTGGCTGTAAAAACATATTTACTGAAACAAGCCAGTGACTAATAACTGGAAGGTGTTTTCTGAGCATTTTAGTGAGTTCTTTGTTGCTTTAGTTTATTTTACTTTATTTTAGGCGTTTGGTAATAATCACAGCTCTACGCAAATCAATAAAGAGAGAATTTAAACTCTGTTTGAATTTGCTCAAGAAGTTATCTTTTGAAGATAGTCACGTACAGCATGTTAATCAACCAAGGCTAATATTTTGTGTGAGGATTTTAGATTTTTTAAATTTGATGTGCTTGTGTAATTAAGATGATWTAATCCATAAAATAAAACCAGAACATGGTATCTGATGTATGACATGTTGAAAGTGTGAACCTGTCAGTTTTYGTGTGAGTAAGTGTGAACGGCTCTCTCCCCGTTTGTTTGTCCCTCACACTTTGGTTGTTCTGGATGCCCCTGTATGAATTTCATTTAATGTCAATCTCCTGTCATTTTCTATTAGGGTTCAGTTAAATGTCAGAGCCACTCGGGCTGCGTTACCTTGTTTATTTCTCGTGCCCTTCCCGAACGAACATCCACGAGCTATGGTAACATAGGCAGCTTGATTTGAATTATAAAACAGAGCAGCTTGAGATATCTTCGCTCCAGGTGCATATAAATGAGTGATTCTGACATTACAAGGCACAGCATCAGCCAGCAGACAGCTGTTTGCACGTCCATAAGGGCTGCAGACACTCTAACTAACACAGCTGCACAGTCTTTTTATTCTGATACAGATTTGACTACAAAGCCCATAGGATGCTTAATATCACATACAGTAGATTGTTCTGTAAAACATCCACCTATTTTTTACAGAACTGATAAAAAAACAGAAGATATTTTATAGTGTGAAACTATAAATCAGTACAAATTAGGATATTTTTCTGTATTACAAATGCTTTCCATTAATAATAAATCTAAAACTGTGAAGTTCAACTGAGAAAAAAAGTTTTATTAAAACAGAGGCAGCTTTAAGCATAAGATCTAAAATTACTCCTCTTGGATGGATTAGTTGTAACATTTAGAAATACAGTATTAGTAAATATGTTATTTTTTAAAAATAAATGCAACTTCATATTTTTAATTAATTAGTTAATAATTTGCAGTACCAAGACCGTAGGCAGACATTTTTCCTTTCATTCAGTTCTCAACTGAGTCAGCCCATCAATTTGTTATGTTTTATGGATTACAGTAATGTGGATGACCAATAATCCAACAATGCAACCCTATAGAACATGTTCTGGTAGTGTTTCTTTTTGATTTGAAGATCGATCCATGGTTATATAAGATGCTTTTTTTGCGATAAYTATTTTCATTTCATGAGCTTTCTGAAAAAGAATGATTAAAAAAAGACACCGTTCTTCAGAAATTTACCAATTTATGCCTTATTCACAAAATCTGTCCAAGGCTGTTGAAAGAACTTCTGAGTGCCTCATCTTTCAGGCTGCAACAAAGGGAATTCAGTCTTGTCCCTGAGCTTGTTTGCTGGTGCGCTACGAATGTGTGATCAGCCGACTGTGAACAGTCCTGAGACCTGCCGAGCTGACCTTGGCTGCCAGCCAGCCKCTGTTTCCTGGGTAGCTGTGGCTGTGGACTGGCAGTCTGACAGGCAGGGCTGTGCCCATCGCCAACAAACGACAGCCCCCCTCATCCCCAGTGCCCTGCCCTAATTGATACCCGACCCCACACGCATCCATCATGACCATATCACGACTTCTCACGCTCAGCCACGCATTCACCTGGGATGCAGCTCAGAGTGTGTGAAAAAGAAAACGACTGTATAAATGCTGTGKTGAGCGATCGGGGAGCAAGGCATGATCTGTGGCCTGCTTGCTRCCATGGTGATCTGACAGTTATTTAGCCAGTAGTGCTAATGTTGCCCCGTGGCAGCGATGACAGAGTATGTTAGTGTCTTAGATAGATGTAGGCCACCAGTGTTTGGGAATGATGAGGACCCTGTGATTGATGATCTAACAGACTCGCAGCGAGGCTAAATATTTGTGTAATATTTGTATATTTGTAGACCTTTTTTTGGGGTGGGTGGTGGGTACACTTACCTTTAAGGTTGGATATAGCTAGAAGCTAAGTCCTCTCACAGCTTGTTTAATGTATCTATACTTTGCACAAAAATGTAAGAAAATGTATGTTTGGTAGATTATTTCTTTGCTGTAACAATGCTTCTTGGCAATAAATCTTATGACTGGCACCTGATGGGCAGCACCTGGGGGTACCAGAAGTTCAAAACAAGTGTCAATAGCAAGAGCAAAATAGGCTGTTTGGCAATGGTATGGAAGTATGGCAAATCGTTCATGCGCAAACCCCACTCAGCTCTACTGCTCATCCCACACATGCATGCTCCTTACAAATGTGGCATCATTTAAAAGGGGAATTAATAGGATTTCCAACTGTTTAAAATTTATTGCCAAAAAAACTTTGGTACAACATAGAAATAATCTACCCAACACAAATTTCCTTACCTTTTGAGCTGCGTTTATATTTGTTATTCCAGCAGAAAACAATGGGAACAGCTTTCTGTAACTGAAATGTTTTGTAAAAATACAGTTGTGTTACCGTCCCCTCCAGTCTCATGCTTGATTTTGGGCAGATTGACTGCCTCTAATAAAGTTTCTTAAAAAGTCTTCTCTTGTTGAGTCTCACCGACCACACCTCCACCATCTTGGATGGCAGCAGAGGTCCTCAAAGTCTGCTTCAGCAAGAAAGTCAGCCATTTGAAAACGGGTTCATGCCCTACAGGGCCAAGCTGACAAAGATTCTCAAGCCTGATATGGATCATGGTCTCCAGCTGCAGTCCAAGATGGTGGATTCCTTCGTATACGCAAAAAACCCAATGGAGAAGCACACACACACCTGCAATCATAAGCACTAGAACTCAACTTCATTGAAAAAAAAACAGATTATTTTGGACAAATAAGAACAGAAAGACTTATTAGCAGTGTTTAATTTCAAAAACAAGATTTATTCTTTGAAGAGTTATTTTGAAACACTCTTGTTTTTCTGTAGAAATGTATAAATGTTTTTCACTTGCTTATTTTAACAGTTTATATTTAAGTCTATATGTGTATGTGTGTGTGTGTGTATTAGTTTACTGGAGCTTCTCACGGGGCTGTTGTTATTATTGAGTCGGTTCATGGTGTGATTAACAGTGTGTGCAGCCTGGCAGGAGCACAATAGGGAATCCCTCAACGCAGCACAACACTCTACTGCCTTTGAAATTACTCTATCACCATCCACTCATAAAAAAAGATAGATAATAAGATTTTCTTTTTTTTACTGTATGTTGAATGCGAAGTGTACGGGTTGGTGGAAAWAGCTCCATAGAAATGCAAGCCCACTGCTGCTTGGTCCGTCTGGTGGGAGTTAATGTAGTTTGGGAAGATGTATTTGACTGGAGCGCAGGGGGATTTTCACAGGGTTTGGGATTAACACCGTAACAGAGCATCTTTTATTACATGGGACCCCAAGTTTTCCAAAACCATACTGTGACCGATATTTAGACCTAAGCCCCTGAAGCTGATAACTGTCATGAAAAGGTACTGTGAAGCTGCAGGAGAAAAAGGCAATTTTTATAAGCTGCGGGTACCTAGAACTCATGCCGGATTGCATCTCTGTGTTTCTGCTCCTTCCACTAAACAACCAACTTTTTGTTAAAATGCATAAGAAAAAGCACAAATAAGTTCAGTTTGAAAGTTTTCCCCTCTGAGGTAATGTTGTATGCATGCATGAAAATGGTCATTAATAAATAATATTAAAACTTAGCAAAAAAAAACGGTAAGGAAATTTGTGTTTGGTAGATTATTTTTTTTGTTGCTTTGTGGCAAWAAATCTTAAACCATTGGAAAGCCTGTTCATTTCCTTGTTAAATGGTGCCACATTTGTAAGGAACATGCATTTGTGGGATAGGCAGTAAAGCTGAATATGTGGGTTGTACATATGAAAAATTTGCCAAATCTTCTCTGCCAAAACAACTTTTTCTGCTGTTGCCTTTGACACTTAGTTTTGAGCTTCTGGTACACCCAGGTGTGGTCGTATGGAGGACAGAAACTGACATAATTAAAAATAAAAGCAGAAATATGTAAATGGGCCAAATAAACAAATAAATAAATACACTTAAAATGCACCTATTAATTAAAAATGAGAACTTTATTTCATGTTTTAAAATTTAATTGACCTTTATATTTATTTTTCAGCTTAGTTCCAACAAATCATATATTTTAGCATGTAATTAAAAATTTACTGTTTTTAAAACTGTATATATGTATTTGGTTTTCATTTTACTTGTAGTTGCATTTGTGTCTCTTAAATTTTTTTAATGAATTTTAATTGTTTTTTTCCAACAAGTCTTTTTATTTCCATGTGTTGTTTTTACATTTTTCTTTTTCCTATTTTTACTTTACCTTATGCATTTTGCCTCGGTATGCAAATAAGGTGGGGCTTCCCTTCTTGGGTCAGCTCCTTTACTATTGGTCAATAAACAGGAAGGAGCAGGATCTATGTGCAGATCGATTGTGCATGCAGAACAGAAAAATGTAAAAAAAAAAAACCCACATGGAAATAAAAAGACAACTGATTCTAATGGCACATAGATCCTTGGTTATTATTATTATTATTATTATTATTATTATTATTATTATTATTATTATTATTATTATTATTATTATTATTATTATTATTATTTTCTCAACAAAATGAATTGTAGGCATTTTATAATCAAATATATGTTTCTTTTCTTTAAGCATCAGTATTTTTGTGCTGGTATTGAACTGTAACTGTCTATTGTCTTAGTAACACAATAAAACTTCAAAATAAAAAAAGATGTCACCACAAATCCTTCTGTGAACAAAACTTATCAAGAATCAAACTGAATTTGTTTTAAAGACATAACTTACTGTTATACAATAACAATGAAATCGATTCATTCATTTTTGTGAATCGATTCACATTTTGATTCTCCATGTAATCAAACCCACCAAATTCATACTGTATATAATGTTGTTTTAAATATGAAGTTGATATTCAGATGGGGTTGCTGTGACCAGCAGATATGAATGTTTTCATTTTTAAAGATATTTTGCAGATTTTGCTTTGACATTATTGACCAGTTGCWTTCTTCATTTACTAATTAGTGGTAGGCTGCAATTACTGAAGTAGCTCAATATTGTGTTTAATATTCTGATCTCTCCCCTCCAGGGTTTCGCAGACAGCCCTCATTACAGCGATCATTTGAGTGACAGTCAATTAGTGTCCCATGAAGGATTGTCCCCAACACCTTTTATGAACTCAAACATAATGGGTAAGTTAACTACTTCTTCTAACTCAGCCCTCTCATTGCCTTTGGGACTAAATATACTGTAAAAAAATGACGCCTGACTGATGTGCAAGACCCATGATGCATCTGGAGGTAGCAGTGCTGAAAGGCTTGCTGGCTACAAGACTGTTTTCTGTATTTTCTCCCCTCCCCTTTCTGCATCTTCCTCTTCTGTGATGACCCTCCCCCAGGGCGGGAGTCACACTATCAGTATGGCTTTCTGTCATAAGCTCTCTCCAAGACCCTAAATCCACCTTCATCAACTTGTGCTTTGTATGTGTATGTGTTTARAGTTAACAGTTATATCAAAGATATTCTCGCAGTTAATTTCCAATTTTAAACTCTCCATGCATCGTCAACTTATCATTTGTTTTTTTATGTTTTAATGTTCCATTTTGGTTTTGTCAAATTATGCTTCACCTCACTGATGGGTTGATTGGACCACAAACGGGTCTGACTTTGTGAACTAGAYGGTATCTACAGAATATTTATAATTTCTTTCCGTGAGCCTAACTGAATYCAGTTTAACATGCCATTTCCCAGCTCACTGGTTTCAAACCTGCTGATTTTCTCTCCAACAGCTCAGAGACTGTCTTTTATCAACGCTGCCTGTCAGCCTTTATCCAACTGTCTTTATTTTTAAACGCAAATATCCTAAATGTATTCTCAGCTACATCATTTTTTTTGTTTTTTGGTCATGTATAAATTGTTATTTGTTTATCCTTTGTGCACTCTGTTAATGAGCCACAATATGCTCTGACATTACAACAATTAAAAGCTGTCTGTTATCCAGCATTCAGCATCACTGTGATGTGGAACCACTTGACACTTTTATGGCTAACTACTTTTCAGCTCGTTGTATAATGGCCATAGAGACTGGTTTCCAAGCTCTGTGATTAGTTCACAAATGGATGCAGCTGAACGGAAACAAAATGTTATCTTTGCTGTAATTGATCACATGACTGCTATTTCTCTCCTCTTCAGCTGTATCTGTAAAATGCTCGCCAGCGGCAGAATATGGATGTGATCTGTTGCTGCGATATGTCAGTTTTAGACAGCATGATTGTAAACTTGGAATTGCTTCTGCTTATCTCAGGCTGGGAATTCTGGATGACTGCAGTCTTATTAAATTGTTTTCCATGGTAATATCCAAGGTTCGCATAAATGTGTGGCGTTTTCAGTGTCCTCATTATTACACGCCTGAGAGGTTATTCCTCGTCAATGCTCAGGGTAGAATAACTACAGCTGAGTCAAATGCACAGTTGTGATGATAGGTAGATGGTCTTTACAATAAACAGTTGGTCTTGCCGAAGAAACAAATTTTAGTTCAGTCGATCCAGTCAGTTTTTGAACCTTTGACTAATTGTTTCAAATCTTTTTGTGTGTTTATTGTGGAGATCATTTGAGGTTCCTTTTCAGTCATTTCACTCAGTACAACACACAGTTGTATATGGGACACGCGCGCCCTCGCGCGCCTGGCTGAAGCCACCTCTAATCACGTCTTTAGACCGGTGACGTGGTGACATTGAACGTCGGGTGACAGGCTCCAACTTCGCCCTATAAGTTCGGAGTCACCAGCGTCATTACTCAGTTCTATCGCCCTTCACCTTGCGATAGTCACCTCTAAACCTGAGCTCACATAGCTGCTGCTAGTTAGCTCAGCTTCAAAGCTTCTTAGGCTAGCTTCACTGGTGCTAACCGCGTTACCTGCTGGTTCGTGTGTCTGCCGCTCAACGCTACTTAAGTGACCTTTATTTTCTGCTGAAAATCTGTTTTGTGGTTCACGATGAGCACAAAACCACCTCCGAAGAAGCCGAAGTCTTCTGTTCGCCCCKGTCYTSARGGGTGCGGCTTTAAGCTTCATGAGAAGGACCAGCATGAGGCCTGCCCGGCCTGCCTAGGAATCATTCACACTCGATGGGCGCTTGTGGAGCGCCCATCGTCCTGCCGGGCCTGTGCCGGACTTTCGCGTCCGACACTGGAGAGGAGAGTGAAATTCCTGGAGAAAATGCTGGGGGAAACCGCTGTGTTCCGACAAGACCCGCTGCTCTCCGAATCCAGCCAGATGGCTCAGTCCGACGAAGAAGAGGATTCGGCGGTCGAAGCCCCCGCTGCTAGCTGGGCGAACCAGATGGAGCACGAGGCRGCCTCACCCAACATCGAGGGGGGTGAGACCCAGTTTCTACTGGATCTAAGCCGAGAGGGTGGACCAGGATTCGTCCTTCTTGTCCCTGTGCCGCCGAGCTGCTGCTAAACTGGAGGTACAGTGGCCCGACCCCCCACCTGCTCAAAAGCCGTCGAGGTTCGCAGGGTTTTATCTCCCGTCTGAACCGGCTGATGTGAAGCACAGAATGCCCATGTTTCCGGACTTTGTGTTGGAGCTGACGTCTTCCTGGAGCAAACCGCTGTCCATCCGCGCCTTTGTGCCCGGATAGGGTCAGTACTTGGACGTGGAAGGGGCAGACCAAGCAGGCCTGGTGGGCATCCCTCAGATGAAGCCTTCTTTAGCTCCTTCTGCTACAGCTAAACGGGTCGGGGATCTCCAAGCTCTGTCAGTGAACCCCTCCTGTATCCAGTTTTCTACTAATGACTCTAAAGTGGTTTTGCACCCTAACTCTGCGTATCTATCTAAGGTGATACCTTCTAGTTACAGCTCTATGTCTATAGAGCTTTCCAGCTTTCACCTCCCCCCCCTTTTGCATCTGAGGAGCAAAAGAGGCTGCATCTTCTGTGCCCAGTACGTGCTCTACGCACTTACATCAGCCGCACACAGGATGTAAGGTCATGTGATCAGCTGTTTGTGGCTGTTGCTAACCCACACAGAGGTAAAGTTCTTTCTAGACAAAGACTCTCTCACTGGTTTGTAGAGGCCATCTTGCTAGCATACAGCAGCAAAAACCTTCCTATCCCTCTTGGAGTTAAAGCTCACTCCACCAGGGGTGTAGCGACATCTTGGGCCCTTTTTAAAGGGGTACCTGTGAGTGACATTTGTGCCGCGGCCAGCTGGGCCTCACCAAACACATTTGMACGATTTTACAGCCTGGATGTAACACCACCTTCGGTGGCTCATTTTGTACTTTCTGCCAGGTCCAAAGCTCTGCATTAGTACAGTACTTACTCAGACACACTACTTAACTCAGGTCTGATACTGCTCTGCGGGGTGCTTTGACAAGTCCCATTTACAACTGTGTGTTGTACTGAGTGAAATGACTGAAAAGGAACGTAAGGTTATGAATATAACCACGGTTCCTTGAAGGAATGGAACGAAGTACAACACCTTGTTGGCCCCGCATCACGAAAGGCTGGGTGAAGGGCGGTATCTAACTGAGTAATGACGCTGGTGACTCCGAACTTACAGGGTGAAGGCGGAGCCTGTCACCCGACGTTCAATGTCACCACGTCACYGGTCTAAAGAMGTGATTAGAGGTGGMTTCAGCCAGGCGCGCGTTGTACTTCATTCCATTCCTTCAAGGAACCGCGGTTATATTCATAACCTTGCGTTTCCGCAAAACTGCTGGGGTTTCTGTAAACAATTGTTAGTTAAGTTCCGAAAAGAAATCCAAGGAAAAACTGAGGACTTGAATGCTGAACTGTAATTTTGTGGGGTGTCACTACAGTATATACTTTATGGTACATGCACAGTATTGGTTATTGTTAGCTTGCAGTTGCTTGATCTTTTTAACCAAAATAAATGTTTATCAATGAATTTGAATGTCTCATTTTCAAATTTAGATTTGTTATGTCAGAACAAAGTTAATCACAGCTTGTTAAATTGTTCAATTTAATTTGACTGTGTTTCTCTGGAAGCTTTAAAGAGAAGCTAAAAGGGCTTTGAAATAGAAAAACTGCATTAATGCTATGAGTGATGGGATTTGGGTCCCAATTAGGGCAGACTTTGGATCAGCTGGTCTCTGGTCTTAACTCTACCTACTTGTTCTACAATCCTCTTCTTAATCAGTACATTAAACTCTGCAGGCGGCTCTACAGGTGACTTCACTGTTCATGTGTGTAAGATCATTATCAGTCAGGCTAGTCTCTATGACTCAACCTATTATTACCTTAGTACACAAGCTACTTTTAGACAGGCTATAGAGTCATCCTTCATAAAGATTTGCTGCAGAGGGAGGGATTTCCATGTCCTCACACACAGATATGCTAAAACGTCTTATTATTATTATTTAATATTAGTGCATGTAGACAACATTAATACTGTCAGCACAGGTGTGCATAAGCAGCAGAAGGGAATGGGAGACTGTGATGAAGTGATTCAATGCAGCCTGCTGGTTTCTTCTTTAGATTGTTCTTTTTCATGTACAGTGTCCTGAGGCAACGTATGTTGTGACTTGATGCTACATAAATAAACTGAATTAAATTAAATTAAATTAAATATTTGCAAAGACCATTTTAAATATAGCTTATTTAAAGGGAAGCTTTATTCAAAAAGAAAATGGTATTTATTTTTTCAGTTCACCTTTACACTGTGTCCAAAATGTCCATTCTTGTCTTTTGTCCACTAATCTGCCATGATTCTGAGTTAGCTGACTGTTTTTGAGAAGAATTATTGACTGTCTTTGACAAAAAGTGTGTAAGAATATGCACATATTTATACTTTTTTTTTGCCATGATTCACTCTTYGGTGGGTCTTTTGGTGGAAGTTTATCTCTGATTTAGTTGTAAATACTCAGCTTCATGGATTACTACGAGTTCATGACCCTGAAGAAACAGTTGCATCTAATTACCCGCTCAGATTTTCTTTTACAGCGTCAGCTTGATTTAGACATCAGTGGGGAAGGTTGTCTTTTGGGAAATTATCACATGGGATGAGTGATAACTGGAAGTGCTGCGGTTTATAGTTTTGATGCTATATTTTAAAAGCATGCTTAGTTTCTCAATAGACTGATTTTACTTAAAAAATATATATTTAATTAAAAGTACCCTATTATCACGGGTTTGTTTTATCGACTTCACTCCTCTGTTTGGTTTTC